CCCGTGCCGTCCTGAATTCCACCCCAGTGGGGGAGCTGATGGCACATGTCTTCGCTTTCTAGTGCTACTGTAATGCAAATACCCCAAGTGGGTGGCTTTAAAGAACAGAAATTTATTTTCTCACAGTTCTGGAGGCTGAAAGCCCAAATCAGGGTCTCAGCGGTGTCAATTCCGTCCTCGTAGGTGGTCCCACGTGCCCCTCAGTTCCTTGGCTTATAGACGATCTTCACATGGTATCTGTCTTCCCTCATGTGGTTTTCTTTTGTTTTTTGTTTTTTGTTTTTATTCAGGCATGATTAGATTCAGAACCAACCCAACTCCAGTATGATCTATCATAACAACAAAAATCCTCTTTCCAAACAGAATGATATCCACAGGTATAAGGGTTAGGATTCCAACACATATTTTTGTGAGACACAGTTTAATCCATAACAGCACATATAACAACCAACTTGCATTGAGCACATACAACATGTGAGGCACTCAGCTGCGTCCTGGATATGCAAATAACAAATACGAATAAGACATGCTTTCCACCCTCCAGAAGGTTCTAGAGCACTGATAAGGTCACAGCCTGAATAATACAAATACAAAATCGATGGTGATCAATAATGGAGATTCAAAGATCCAAGGCAGTGTGGAGAACCCAAAACCAAACCCTTTGCTGTCGAGTCAATTCTGACTCATAGCGACCCTGTAGAACAGAGTAGAGCTGCCCCATAGTGTTTCTAAGGCTGTAAATCTTTACAGAAGCAGACTGCCACATCTTTCTCCCATGGAGCAGCTGGTGGGTTTGAACCGCCGACCTTTGGGAGAACAGCCGAGTGTTTTAACTACTGTACCACCAGGGCTCCTAATGCAGAGAAGGGAAAGGCTAATTACAAATGGATTGGCTCCTAAGATCTCACTCTTGTTTTCTCTGTGATTTGATCTCCCACCTAAAGCAGAAACATGTTGTTCCTGTAAAATATTACAGTCATTTCAATGGACCCCATCATGCAAGTTTCACTTTGGACCCTGTGAGAGCATTATACATTGAATTTGTTTTACAGAAGTGCAATGAATAATGGAGGCTCCGAGAAATGAAATGTCCGCTAGCACTGAAGACGCAGGAAATAAAGCCATATAGTTAGTTGTATTTGAATAAAAGAGATTGGTCTTCTTAATTGGAAGATATAAAAATAAATTGTTTCATGTTTTCACCACTAGATAAAAATATTTTAGAATCCACTTTAAGCAGACCCTTCCAACTGCCACATCAACTGACAGTTCAATCAAGATTGTAAAAAATTTTTCCAAGGAATAGATATTATACAAAGCTTTGTGCTCTTCACCTATTGTCTTCAAGCGTTTATTTTAATGCTATGTTTATTCAGGAGGTTTGCGGCACAAATTTCTAAGTGGGCATGGAAACCACCTCCCTCAAGATGGGCAGACGATGCATTAAATACAACAGTGGAGTGTAGCTTTATGGATTGGGCATTGACCCATAATATTCATTTAGGATCGTGATTAAAACTAACTGTTCCGAGATCAGCGCTGGAGGTTGTTCTTTTTTTTTCAATTTGTAAAGAGTGAACCGTGCAGTTAAATTTCATAGTAAATCTGTAGATAAATACGTAGAAACCAAAATTTGAGCTGCGTTAAAGTCATGATACTTACAGCTTTGTCATGTGCTTTTAACATGATGATAATGTTTTAATCACAACTACCATGAGTTTACATGTTCATCAAAAGTCTTAAACCACACGTAAAAAAAGTTGAAAATCATAATTGAAAGAGTAGACCCTGTATTTGGGGGCAAGACGGAGGAAAAGAAGACCCTGCTCTCCTATAAAGTGAAAACCAAATTTACACTTAAGATGTGTATCAACTCATTCAAGAGCAGCTGATTAAAAATGGGAACCTGACCCCACAGGCTTGTTGGACATTATTGTTGGTGGAAGAAGAGATATGTACATACTTCAATCTATTTACAAATATATATTTATAGACCCTTGTTGTACCTACAGACACTTTAATAATTCCCTTCTGTCCTCTGTGTCCCAGGGGTGTGTGTGTGTGTGTGTGTGTGTGTGTGTGTGTGTGTGTGTGTCCCTTTCCCTTGCCACCTGGAACCCCAAACTATTCATCTTTCTCATTTCTCAATATCTTAGGCATTTTAATATAGCAGACAGTAAGTTTTTTGCCAATTACTAACTTAATTTGGAAGAGGTTATGCTAGAATTGAATAGAAACTATGATAAAGAAAAATGCTAAGATTAATATCAAACACTTATAATGTCAACAAAGTAGTTAATTGCTTTTATTTCCTATTGGTTAGCTCTGCCCATTCATTGATTCCCATTATGCAGTTTGTTTGTGAATAGGAGGCAGCCCGCCCCCATCGTAAGGACGCTAAAAGGAAGTGCTGAGCTCCCATCAGTAAGGGAAGCGTGTGGAGGATATTTCAGACTATAGTGTACATGAACTATCCCTAAGCTCTTTCACGTCTAAATCCCAGGATTCGCCATTTGGAAATACTACCTTGTCAAAGTGCAAAGAGTCTAGATTTAAGAAACAGGATCCCACACCGTCACCTAACATTCTTTTCTGGCCAGTGTGGTCTAATTGGAATTTTTGACAAACCTATTATTCTAATAGCTTCCAAGCTCAAGCTAGTAAAAACCATTTCATGGAGCAGTGGTCTAAAAATGCTCTTCTACAAAGGCTAGCCTCCTAGTTCAGAATGATATGCCTCTCATCACTTTGTCCCTAGCAGAAAACTAGTTCCTTCTTTCCCTACGGATCCTGTCAGAAAGGAAGGTTGGCCACCCCAAGGTGGAAATTGTAACCCTTTACATAAAAATACTGTCAATATTTATTATTATCTGAGGAACTGAAGAATTTTATTTTTCAAAAGCAGTAAGTTCAGCAAATGCCAAAAATGCTAATTTGAATTGAATAACCTTTCCCAGTGTTATGTTAAAATGCTGAGAGAGCTTCTTTAAACATGTTCTGTAGAACTTTTTCAATATCAAAGAACACCTTTATACTTGGTAGCATTTTGGCATTTAAAAATAAATAAATAGATCCAAACTCTTTGCCATAGAATCGATTCCAACTCATAGCAATCCAATAGGACAGAGTAGAACTGCCCCACAGGGTTTCCAAGGAGTGGCTGGTGGATTTGATCTGCCAACCTTTTGGTTAGCAGCCAAGCTCTTAACCACTGTGCCACAAGGGCTCCATTTTAGCATTACACCTATTTTATATTAATTCCTAAAAACATAGTCCATCCATGTTCTACATCACATCTGAAGCCCTTGCTTTCCCCTCTCCCACAGACTTGGGTTTGTTCAAGCTCATCCACTTATTAGCTATGTTGCCTCAGACAACCTCTTTGAACCTCAGTTCTCTCACCTGTAAAATAGAATTAAGCACAATAGCATGGGGATATTGTGACAACCAGATGGGAATACCTGTGTCATTCCATTGTGGGTGGTAGACATTTATCCCATTCAACGTCTCCTCCAGGATGGGTCCAACATCACTGCTTCTTAGGATCTGCCACGTGTCTTCCAGCAGTCAGCAAAGAGCACTATCCTCTTCCCAACCAAGCCCTACTCCAAGAGCACCAGCAAGGAACTTTCTAGAAATGCAAGTTCTCTGGCCTCACCCCAGGCTATCAAGAGTCTGAGACTCTGCAGTGAGGCCCAGCAATCTATGCTTTAATAGATCTTCCAGGTGAGGGTTTGAGAACCACTACCCTATTTAGGTCATTCTCTCTTTCTGGCACCTTCCGCATGGTCTCTAACTTCTTTCAATCCCTTTCTACCTTCCATTAACCCACCTCCTTTAGCATCTCTCCTCTAGGTTGTGTTGTCCTTAAGTCAGTCCCCAAAGTGATTACCCACTGGAATCAAATCCTAACCAATGAGGAAGTGAGGAAGATGATACCTCAGGTGTTGGAGTAACTAAAAGGACCCCAAAGATTCCCCTTCTTCTAGGATTGTCTCATGTCTTCGGTAGGGCTAGAAGATACTTCTGCTTCCCAGCTATGCTTCCCATTAAAGTAGGCGCCCTCCTGTTGCCTTTAGCTCGACCTGTGTCAGTACAGGGAAGAGATTGGAGCACCTCTGCCATAAGAGGTGCCATGGACAGCCCAATGACTAAATTTTCACATGCAAAAACGCACGTGCACATACACACACACACACACAAAACCTAGTTATGTCCGTACAAGTTTCTCTCCGTCTACTTTTGGCTGGGCCAAAGGGTAGGTAAATTTTTGAGGCAAGCAAATTTCAGATCTCTAAAATATTTCAGTAAGTTGGAAACTTTCTCTTTGAAAAATGTTTCAAACTTCTCAAAGAAGTGTCCTTTGAATCAAAAAGCTTCTGATTCCCCTGTCAATTGTAAATGCGGAAACCTTGAAGACTTTCTGAAAGTCTCCCTCCCATTCTCAGTGGTTGCGGGGCACTCACAGACCACGTGTTAGGAATTCTGCATTCTCTCATTGAAGAGTTGTGTTAGAGTACAGCCTAGAAATGATGCGCCGCAGATGTCTCCAATGCAACTCTCGAAACAGAGAATGCACACTTCCTAACGAGAATGCAGGAATGGTCAACCACAAGTATTTGCTGAAGCTATCCATATGCCTTACAACTATATTCTCATCCGGAATTCTGCATTCTCTATTTTGTGAGTTGCATCAGGGTTACCTCTGTCTTACCGTTTCTAGGATGTATTTGTTGAAAGCTTCCATACGCAATGCAACTATATCCTTGTTAGCAAGTCTCCATTCTCTATTTTGTGAGTTGCACTGGAGATACCATGGCTTGCCATTTCTAGGAAGTATTCGTTGAAGCCATCGTATGCATTACAACTATATTCTTGATACACCTTTGGAAAAAGCAAAGCGTTTTCTTGAAAAGTTTGGAAGGGGTAGGCCTAGCAAAAGGTTCTTTTGGTGACAGCCACGAAGGTGCTGACTACTGACACATCCTTTTGCTTTGCAGGAATGTGAGTTCAGCGGGAGAGGAGGCCCGCCGGAGGATGCGGGAGTGTGATGGACTCACAGACGCACTGCTGTACGTGATTCAGTCGGCTCTGGGCAGCAGCGAGATCGATAGCAAGGTTTGTTGTATTTGCCTGGATTAGGGATGTTCGAGAATAAGGATGCCCAAGGAAGTAAACTGGCTAACAATGATGGAGAGCTAATGCAGTATTTAATACTTTCCTTTTATGCATGGTTCCTTTGCGTGCATCCAATATATTCTAGATAGAGGTGCTAATCCTAGCCTAGAACTAGATAGGTAATGCCTGTAACTCTTTATTAGTAATGAGTAGTCATTTATATTAAGTTACTCAAACCACAGGCATTCCAGATGAAGTGTATACACTTTTGCATACCACATTACCCACAAATCTCTAGTTTTTATTTTACAGAATCCACTTTCAAAAGAGACATTAAAGCTACCTGAGAGTTGAATAATCCTATATTCTTATAAGTTAGCTTTTTAAAAACTGTTAATTGTATCAAATGCCGTTTAAAAATACCTGTCAAAATCGAAATAAATGAGGCTGTCAAAATGCTCAGGCCTCAGTGTCTATTCAGTACTTTAGTTCACAGTCAAAATAGAATCAGGTGGACTTGTCTAGCGTTTGAGCGATTTCATTTTACCTTAATTATATTAGTTTTAATCTACTCTGAATATAAATGTATACAGTAATTTCATAATATCCTGATATAAAGGCAGACTTTACCAATACCTTTTAAGTTATTTATGTGATAAATGCGATACTTCAGTATAGAGATTCTCAAGAGTGGCACTGTTGATATTTTTGGGCCCAGTATTATTGGTTGCAGGCTGCTGTCCTGTGCATTGTAGGATGTTTACCAGCATCCCTGGCCTCTACTCACTAGATGCCAGGAGCACTGCCCGCCCCCCGCCCCCCGCAAAGCCATTACAATCAAAAATGTCTCCAGACACTGCCACACGTCCTGTGAAGAGCATCATTGGCCCTGGTTAAGAACCACTGCCTTAACCCCATGCTCTCCAGCTCCACCTCTGCAGCAGAAATGCTGGTAGGACTTTAGTACATAACCGTGCCAGACCCCCATCACAGCCCTTCTGAATCTGAATGTCTAATGCAGGTTCAGCAGTTGATTTGATGTGCATCTTGGATTAAGAACCCTGACTTAGTAGATGCAGATTTGAAACACACTGTCTCATCAGGTATGTGGTAGAACATAATTTAGTTGTAACGTCAGATAAAGAACAAATAAGAGTGATTGCATCCATTCCATTCTTAGCTGGCATTGGGAATGATTTGGCATAGCGCTTCTCAACCTTGACTATCCATTTGAGTTACTGAGAGACTTACAAAAATACTAAAGCCGGAGCCCCACCTACCCCCCAAAGATCAGGATTCAATCTACAATATTTGCTGGAACTCCAGCCTTTGGAGTACAAGTTGACTCCAATTATGAACACTGTTTGTAATCTTACCACTGCCACTCAGTTAAGTTTGCATCCATTCATTTACTATTTGCTGTCAGTTTCAAAGACCAGAGATAATATGATAATGGCTTAAGCATTCCCCTTTTGTAAAAGGTTTTAATTGCCATTTTAGATTGTTTTTTAACATCATTGACAGGAAAATTAAATCGCTAAAAAAGTGTCCATTCAAGATGTCTCAAGTACTTACAGATGCCTCTTAGCATATTAGACACATAATTTTAAAAAGAGCAGCTGAACGAAATTCACTGAAGCAGGAGTGCTGAGGATCTTAATATTCAGAGATTATAATACAGACTGAGGGCATTGGGACCTTAGGCCTCTTGCTAAGATGGATACCAGAAGAGCTGTAGTACCATCTGGGCAGATGACAGTAAAATAAGAGTAGACAGCCTTTCCCACTGGCCAAAAGCCCATGCCGCCATTGCTGGTATTATGGCAATCTTCAGGAGAAGAGTTCCAGGATTAAAGTTCTCCCTGGCAGAAGCATCCTTCGTGGATGTATCAGGTGGCCAGACTCTTAGAACTCTTCAGAGAACTTGGGGGTCATCTCTTTTAATGTCCGTATTGTTCTCCAAAGAAGAAACTGGAATAACTGGGACTATTTAGGGCTGGAGGCATCCCTGGATGGTACAAACGGTGAACACACTTGGCTGCTAACGAAAAGGTTGGAGATTCAAGTCCACCCAGAGGCACCTCAGAAGAAAGACCTGGAGATCTCCTTCTGAAAAACTGGCCATTGAAAATCAGCCACAGTTGTAACTCTGACACATATGCGGTCACCATGAGTTGGAGTCAACTCAAAGGCAAGGGGGTTCCTGGTTATTCAGGGCTGGAGTTGGAAGACCCAGATATTCCTGATTGAGTAGAAAGAGCAATGAGCTTAGAGTCAGGATAGCACTGGTAGATGGTGCCAACCCCACCCCCCACTGGTTATAGGCCCATCCACGAGTGACCTCAGCTTTGTGACCGTGAGGATAATAATAGCTGAACGCCAAGGCTGTTGAAAGGATCAAATGTGATAAATTGCTCAGTGCGTCGTTGGCCAGAACGTGCTATTGAGTTTTACTGTATTATTATTGTACCATAATTTTCCACTCAGCCGTCTGCCCGGCCACTTGTGAGCTTTCACAGTGACAAGTTAGAGGGGGAAATGAGTACACATTCTCTTTAAGATCAGTGAAGTTAATGAATCAAAAAGCCCGGATTCCATGCGAGCTCCCTGCTCAGCTCCTGTAATTGGGACAGTTTGTTGAATGGACAGCATATGGTAGAGCGCCCCACAGACAACTTCCATATTAGCCCTTTCTAATAGAAAATAGGAGTCAAAATGACCTTGGTGACCAAGAGGAACTGCTGAAAGTGCCAGTGACAGGAATGGATGTCAAAAACAAAACACCCAGCTGCCACCGCCTTCTGCTCGTACCCCAAGGAAGGGTAGAGGCTGTATTTTTCTTGTCTTTTTTCCCTACCCCTTTAGAGAAAGATCCTTGAATTGGTAGCCCTCCCAAACCAGGGCAGACTGCAAAGCTCCAGAAGGCTTAACAAGAGGGACAGGTAAATTCCTGGGTCCTCGCTTACCCTACCTGTCTACAGCCTAGCCTCTCTCTTCCTCATCCTCCCCTACCGCACTTCCTCTCCCCAGACCTTCTCCCCGGCCGCAGGTAGGTTATAAAGCATTTCACTGGAAACGGTGAATTTATTCCCCAGCTGTTGTTCGTTAAAACATGAACAGCTGGATGAGAAAGGATTTTTTTTTTCCTCCAAGTCTTTGATGGAAGAAAAATCAGTTTGAGGTGATTTGAAAATCGTTCTGACTTGTGCCATAAGAGTTTTATTTCAAAGAGAGACGTTTTTCTCTTTCATGGGTCACCCTGTGTTTCCCTGCTTTCATGCTGGGCCTTTTTTTTTTTTTTTTTGATGCTGAGAGGATGCTTCAAATAGAAAATCAGGTTGACTCAAAGCCTGTGGGATTGGCAGCCCATGAAACCTTGAACAGCTGACAGGTCTGGAACAGAGAAGGCTCCAGAGATGCATCCTGAGAACTGGTTCTCCTCAATGATTTGCAAACTCCCAGTGATCAAGTCAGCAGCCGCTCCTTGGAAACCCAGAGGGGGCAGTTCAGCTCTGTCCCATAGGGTCACTGTGAGTCAGAATCGGCTCCACCGCAAAGGGTTTGGTTTGTTTCTGTTTTGTTTTGTTTTTAAAGTAATCGAGTCAAGGAAATATGCTTCCTATTACTAGATTCCAGTTATATGAGGGAAACGTAAGTCAGCTTTGAATCCTGGCAGCCTGGCTCCGGTCCAGGCCCTAGACCAAGCCCTTTGGCCCCAGCACTACAGAGAAATGGCACAACCTGGAGCAAGTTACCCTCAGTTTTGGACTTGGTTTTCTTCACCTATAAAATGGAACTATGTTACCTGTCTTTTAGGGTGGCTGCCACATAGTACATTCCAGAAAATGTGATAGCCAAGTTACGATTTTAAAACTAAAACTTAAAAAAAAAAAAACAGTTGTCATCAAGTCGATTCTAACTCCTGGTGACCCCACATGTGTCAGAGTAGAACTGTGCTCCAGAAGGTTTTCAATAGCTGATTTTTCAAAAACAGATCACCAGGCCTTTTTTCCAAGGCACCTCTGGGTGGTCTCGAACCTCCAACCTCTCAGCAGCCAAGCGCTTAACCATTTACACCACCCAAGGACGCCAAAATAAAACTTAGTGCAATTTAATTTCTTCCATCATTATTTTGCCCATTTCTTTAAATTGGTGTTTTTTTTTCCTTTTCCCATGGTTCCTCAAATCAGCACAAAGGTTAAAAAGGTCAGTTTTGCTCTTTTCCTGGGGGGGGGTGGGAATCAACATTTTTTTTTTTTTTTTTTTTGGTAAAGGGCCTGATAGTAAGTATTTTTGACCGTATAGTGTCAATCACAACTACTCAACTGTACCCTTGTGGGAAAACAGCCATACCTGTCACAGTAGAGTCAATTCTAATTCAGATTGACCCTATAGGACAGAGTAGGACTGCCTCATAGGGCTTCTAAGGCTGTAAATCTTTATGGAAGCACACTGCCACGTCTTTCTCCCATGGAGCCATTGGTGGGTTCAAGCTGCTGACGTTTTGGTTAGCAGCCAAGCATTTAACCGCTGCACCACCAGGACTCCTTGAAAGCAGCCATACACATTGTATAAACAAGTGGGTGTGGCTGTGTTCCAAGAAAACTCTATTTATTAAAACAGGTGATACTGTATCTGGCCCAGGGGCCAAAGTTTGCGAACCCCTGCCCTTAACGATCAGAAGATATTAGGACTGGCCATTTCCAGAACTGCAAACTTTATTTCTGATTATAATAGCAAATAATTTTTCAGCACGTATTATACATCAGGCACTGTTCTATGACTGGAGCCCTAGTGGTGCAGTGGTTAAGAACTTGGCTGCTAACCAAAAGGTCAGCAGTTCAAATTCACCACCCGCTCCTTGGAAACCCTACAGGGCAGTTCTACTCCGTCCCATTGGGTCGCTATGAATCAGAATTGACTCAATGGCAACAGGGCTTTTTTTTGGTTGTAAGAATGTATCTAATATATCATTTAATCTCCACAATAGCCCTCTGAAGTTGGTACTGTTCTCACTGCCTCTGGTTTGCAGATGAGGAAACAGAAGCACACTGTACCTCTCTGTGCCTCAGTTTCCTCCTTTGTAAAATGGAGATGATCATAGTTAGCACCTACATTTCAGGGCTGTTGTGAGGATTAGGTGAGAGATTTAGAATTTTGCCCAAGACCGCCCACCCAGCTCATCCAGTGGCAGAGCCAGGACTCAAACCCAAGCCAACTAGCTGTAGGACACAAGCCAGAGACCTGAAGCCATGCTGCCTCCCACAGGGCTCATATCCGAGCCCTTGTGTGGTGTTTGCTGTGCACCAGGCACTCTTCTCAGCACTTACGTACTCTATGAGCTTCCCCTTGCTGCTGTAACAAATTACCACAAACTTAGTGGCTTAAAACGTAAGTTGATTATCTTACAGCTCTGAAAGTCCAAAGTCAAAATGGGCCTCACTGGGCTAAAGTCAAGGTGTCAGCAGGGCCAAGTTTCTTCTGGATTCTCTAGGAGATAATCCATTTCCTTGCGTTTTCTAGCTTCTAAAGGCCACCCACATTCCCTGGCTCATGGCCCTTCCTCCATCTTCAAAGCCAGCAATGGCAGACTGTGTCTGTCTTAGGCTGGGTTCTTCAGAGGAGCAAAACCAGTGAAGCATATACAAATATATGTAGAGAGATTGACTTCAAGGAAATGGCTCATGCAGCTGTGGGGGCTGATAAGTCCGAAATCTGTCAGGGTCAGGCGACAGGCTGGAGGTATCTGCTGGCTCATGGGGTTGCAGGGGCTGACGAAGCCAGAATCTGCAGGTCAGGCAGCAGGCTGGAGGCCTCTGCTGGCTCATGAGGTTGCAGGGGCTGACAAACCCAGAAT